CCTCCTACGATCGTTGGTGCAGGTGATTACTTTCGTATCTTTCATTATGTCTTGGAGATTAAGGATGGTGTTGTGGTATTGAGAATGATGTTACTTAATTCCCCTGTCTTGCAAACGATGTGTAAGACGTCTACTCATTGTATTCGTGGTATGTTCAATGTAGCATATATTTCTGAATGCACAGACTCCAGAGCTGCATTTGTATTGATACACTACATTAGTACACCACAGTTTGTCAGAGGAGGCAGTGTTATTTATCATAATGAGGGAAGATAAACGAGGGTTGTTATAATAAATGACAGGACGCATCCTTGCGTTTTCACTGCAAGTTTTGCAATTCCTATCAATTATGTCTCGTATCACGTTCTCATCCTACTTGTATGCCTGAGTGAATGTATATTTATAATACACTACAATGTCTTCTCTTGGGGGCCGATTTTCTACCCCTCTGGCCTGATTATCCTCAGTCACATTGCGGCCTAGCTTCTTACTTACGATTTCGTCGAATTAGGTATTGCTGTAATCGTTGTTTACAACAATTTAACGGGTTCGTTGAAGTTCGTGGTGCAAGAACTGCCAAGAAGAGCATGTACGTATTGTATGACCTACATATGCATTGATGACGCTTTTCCTGTACCTATCAGTGCATTCACTCTTACCGTTCATACATTTTTCTGCGTCAGTTGGTTTACAGTACACATCAGTGATGAATCTACCCTGATTACCGTCAAGAACATCGAGGAATGGAATCCTGCCTCCTTCACTTTTCTCAAAAGTGAACTTCAAGCTTGAGAATTCTTATAGCTTGCCACGAAGCCTCTTCAATGTGTTATCATTGCCAACACATACGAATATGTCGTCGACGTATCTGCAGTAGATACTAGGGTTCAGCCCTTCCCTCTGCATGATGGATGACTCAACATGAGACATGAATGCCTGGGCGAATAAGACGCCCAGTGGAGATCCCATTGTCACACCAGCAACCTTCAAGTAGAATTTACCCTCTGGGCATAAGGAAAGACGCTTCAGTGGTGCAGGTCTTCAACATATCCTGTAAGATAGTTTGAGGCTTGAGTGGAAGGAGGTGCTCTTGTTGATACACATAGTCCAATATTATGTTTATGGTCCTTTCCTCTGGAACGTTAGTGAATAGACTTTCAACATCACGGGAAGCCATGATCCTAAGGGGTTCTCTCGTTTTCAGAACGTTAATAAATTCGTCTTCAGTTAGCTCTGGTTTTCATCTTCCTCAATCCTTCCTTCTTCGAAAGCCCGTTCTTGAATCTCATCCCTTAGATTTCCGCACTCATCTCCGCCTTCCCTATAATGATCCCTTTCTCTCTGAACTTCAATCTGCCCTGGCCCTCTGCGGTTCTACAGCAGCGGGCTCAGATGACATTCATTATGAGATGCTTCACCATCTCCCTCCGTGCACGTCTCAGTATTTACTGAGTCTGTATAACCAGGTCTGGGAGTAGTCGTCAGTCCCTGAGGACTGGCTCGATGCCGTTGTACCTCTTATTCGGAAACCGGGGTCTCTCGGGACATCCCCTAAGGACTTCTGCCCCATTGCCCTCACGAGTTGTGTCCGCAAACTCTTTGAGCGTATGGTAAATGTTCGTCTGATGTGGCTCTTAGAACACCATCACCACCTCTCTCCTTCTCAATTTCGATTTCGCAAGTGCCGCAGCACAACTGATGTCCTGGTGAACTTGGAGGTCTATATTCGTACTGCTTTTGTTGCGAAGACCTCCGTTTTTGCTGTCCTTTTTTACCTGGAAAAGGCTTATGACAACCTGGAGATACCATATTCTGTCCCAACTTCGTTCTTTTGGACTTCGTGGTAATCTCCCTCTCTTCCTTCAATAATTACGTATTGGCCAAAGCTTCCTCTCTCGTCGTTCCTTTCGAGTCAGGCTTGGTGCCACTCTCTCTGCCTCTTTTCAGCAATACAAAGGTGTACTCCAAGTTAGTGTTCTGAGCAATACTCTTTTTCTGAATGCCCTCAATGGTCTTCTTTCCTCCATTCCTTCTGGCATCTTCTCCGCTCCTTATGTCGACGATCTTATTCTTTGCTGTCGAGTTAATGATTCGCCTCTCCTTCAACGCTGGCTTCAACTTGCAATTGATGCCGTGGCGTCTTGGGTCACCAATCGTGGTTTCAAGTTCTCTGCAACTGTTTCAAGTTCTCTGCAACTAAGACTTGTGCTATGAATTTTACTTGAAAGAATGTCGTCATTCATCCCTCTTTGTCACTTTATGGTCATCCCCTTGTGTACAAAGATTCCGCGAAGCTTTTGGGGTTAATCTTTGACACTCGTTTGTCTTGATCGGCCCATATCTCTTACCTCCGAGTTGAATGCTGTAAGACCCTTAACCTACTTAAGGTTTTGTCCCATACTTCTTGGGGAGCAGATAGGAGCACGCTCCTCTATTTGCACTCCTCTCTCGTCGAGTCTAAACTCGATTATGGTTGCTTGCATACTCTTCTGCTTCTCCTACTCTTCGCCGTCTTGATGCTTTGCACCATACTGGGTTGCGCCTCAGCTCTGGTGCCTTTCGTTCAACTCCTACCCTCAGCTTGTACGCTGACACTGGCTTCCTCCAGGACCGCCGTGATCGCTACTGTCTTCGCTATTTTGCACGGTCCTTGCAGCATCCTCACTCTCGCCTGTCGTGCTTTGACTTCTACCCATCCTGTAGTTCCTGTTCCTCTTCACCACCTTCCTCTTTCTCTGTCCGTTTGTCTCGCTTACAAGACTCTCTTTCGGTTTGTATTGCCAATGTTTCTCCTCATACTGTTCCATCCTTGCCCCCGTGGATTGTCCCCCCTTCCCAAATTTTGTACTTCCCTGACCCGCATCACTAAAGCTTTTACCCCTCCTACAGTTCTGAAACGCCTTTTTCTTGAGCACTTTTCTTCACACTTCCACTCCCTTTCCATCTTCACCGATGGGTGTAAGTCTGCTGACGGTGTGGGTTACTCTGTTGTTTTTCCTGACCACACTTATATGTGTCGCCTTCCTCCAGAGGCTAGCAACTTCACGGTAGAACTATATGCTATTCTCTATGCTCTTCGTCTCCTGGTTTCTCGTTGTCAATCCTCCTATGTGGTGGTAGTTGACTCTCGTAGTGCCCTCATGGCTTTGGGGGTCCTTTTATCCGGTCCACCCGTTGGTCATCAAGATTCAACATTGGCTGTTTTTTATCTCCAGTAAATTTAAGTCGGTAGAGTTTTACTGGATTCCCAGCCATGTTGGTGTCTCTTTAAATGAGCGTGCGGATGCTGCATCTAAGGAAGCTGTCAGCACTTGTCTCATCTCCCGTAAAGGTATTCCTTATTCTGACTTTTACCCAGTTATTCATTCCTCCATCCTTGCCCGTTGTCAGGGTCGTTGGTCTTCTGTTACTTGTAACAAACTGCGCACTCTTAAGAGTCGTGTGTCCTCATGGCCTTCCTCCTACCAGCATAACCGGCAGTGGGAAAAGGCTTTGGCTAGGTTACATATTGGTCATACACCTTTAACTCACAGTCACTTAATGGAGCGCCACCCTGCTCCTTATTGTCCAAATTGCATTGTTTCTCTTACTATCGTGCACATTCTTGTTGAATGTCCTGACTTCCAGGACGAGCGTGTGTCTTGCTTTCCAACCGTCCCTCGCGGTCAATTGTCCCTCGATAGAATTCTTGGTGAATCGGATACTTTTAATATCGTTCACCTTATGCGTTTCTGTCCTCGTATTGGCATCCTTGGTAATATTTAGCGCCCTCTGATTACACCGCACATTTGGTGGTGCTACATAGCCTTCCCGGTTTGGTGCCTTCTTTTGATAATTACTGAATCGTCGCTAAATTTAATGGAGAATGTGGTCGGGATGTACGGTGATAATATTGCGTTCAGTCTTTTGCAAGTTTATATGTAGGTGTTGGGATTTGCAAAATTATAGGCCTAAGTGGATAAGAGGCTTATGCGTCTTCACATTACCATGGAAGTAACCTGGTCCAAAATCACCTGTTGCTCTTTCAAATTTTAGGTCTCCAGTCTCAGCGGTCGCTGCATCTATGAGGTTTACGGTTGCATATTGGCTTGGAAACCATTCAAGCTTCTTCGCATTTGTGTAACTCATGTGACCCTAACAGTGAGGTGATTCGATGAAATATCTGTACCCTAAAGTTAACCATCTACCTTACTGAGGAAACATAGAAGTAACCTGTATCCTTGCTCAGTACCCCAGAGTTTAAGGGGTATTTTCTATGTTATAGTTTGATGTTGGGTTATATCAGATTATACTGACGATTTTACACTCCGGTGTTTCATTTAAACCCTTAAGCACAGCTGGAGTCAATTTTCAGTGAGCTTTGGTCTGTATAGCCATAACAAGCCTATTCATATATTTATGTAGCGTAAAACACACACCACCTCCGCCTCCAACGTATATTTTATTACCCAGGATATTGCGTAATGTCTATAACAGAATTCCTTTGACCAACTGTAGGATGGGATTATTTTGTTGCATTATTAAATATTAATTTATCTTCTTTTTGTTTACTTATTCAACCGTGTTACATCAATCCGGACGTCTTCTCGAATAGTACATCAGATTATGACGTATAAATCCCAAAAGGCCAAAAACTTATATATAAAAAATCTTAGCTGCCTGCAAAATTAATGTTATGTCCCGTTTTCTATTCCCGAGACCTCGGTTAGGTAAGGTTCAGGCAATTTAATATATCAGTTTAGTGATGTTTTGAATGCTAGAGAGGATGGACTGGTTACATAGTCTTCCCGGCTTGGTGCCTTCTTTAATAATAACTTGGCTAACTTATTCTTTCATGTATTTTCTTAGAAAAGTTTGCATTAAAAATTAATTAAGTTTTTGTTGACAGTTCAAAGCTAAAAATATTCCTACTGAAAAGTCAGATGGAAATATTAATATGTACTTAATAATTATATTGCTGAGTAGCAAGCAATCGCCGACATGTACTTTTCAAGACTTACCGGTTCGATGTACGAAATCAATGAGTCCCTGTTGAAGTCGTGAACCATCATCTTGAGGCGACGGTAGCCAGCAGCCTCCAGCGTGGGTCCTAGGTTATCCCTGAGCCAGTCTCGCATTGACTCAGCCGACCATCCAACAGCATTGATTTTCCACTGCCAAATCAAAAATCATATATAACATTAAGATCTTGTTACATTAATATTTGAACTGGTGTGACGATATCAACACCTATGGAGCGAGGTGTGGCGATATCGACAAACATCTATGGGCATGCACTACAACTCCAAGTCATTAGGTGTGACGAAGATAATGCCATGTGTTGGCAGAGGTGTGGCAAAGTCAGCACCATCTGTAGAAGGCTCTTGAGCATATCTCAGAAGATGGGGTCAAAGATGATGACCTCTGGTGAGGGAAGTAACGATAGCAACGCCATCTATAGGGGGCATCCATTCATATTCTCTGTTCCCCGGTGAAAGGCTGTCATTGTGAGATTTTTCTACTATGCTTACCTCCCTTAGGAAGTGGACCTCAAACAGAAAGAATTACTTACTAACAATTTTTTCTACTTTAAGCCTGAGTCCATAGGAAAAGCAGAAGCACACTGCCAGGCTTCCAGCACAAGGGTGAAAACCCTGTCCACTTGGGCCACAGGCTCCTTCTAGTTGATAAAAAAACAAAAAAAGAGTAACCGACGGGTTCTCACTTCGTTAATTTGTAAATTTGAAGTGTGGCACTACGAACTGAGATTTCAAATTTCACAAGAAGAGCTGTCATTAAAAAGATAACATTACTAGAGAATCGTACAAAGCAAAACATGGTTGGAGCAAGAATGGTTGAAGGGTCGACATCAAAGACCGTTTTCTATAACAATAACAAGTTTATTAACAGAGACTAAACTACTACAACATCGAGTTTACGTTATGTTACTGTCCATCCTGTGGCACTTAAATAACAGTTACTTAACAAGCATGAAATAGCAACGACTTCTGTCAACTGCTGCGCAGCTGAATACTGAACTAACCTGAACACAGGTTAGTTCAGTATTCACTGAACCCACTGACGATGCAATATCGCAAACAAATAATTCACAAGACTACGTTTACACAACAGTGAGCGATACGTTACGTTAATGTCCATCCAGTGGCACTTGTAAGACAGCTATTCAATAGCCGCTCGAGAAATAACAACAGTCACAATCTTGTTCACACTTAGGGCTGACTAAATGAACTAACTGAACAATGGTGCCCACTGTTGTTGTTGCTGTTTTTTTAGGGATATTCCTGCGCGGGCCCTAAGCCTCTGGCTGGCCCACTAAGTGTTGCTTGTTTCTGTTTTACTTGGGCGGAGTATGAGTATTTAAGACTCGTATGGTCGCTTCGGTAAGATTTTGCCCACTGGTGACACAAGCTTGCAATCAATGTATCGCACGGCCCTCCTGGTGAGCAATATACTATAATCACAGACTTACTGGTCCTCGCAGCCCTCCCGGCGAGGTACCAAAGTAACTAGGTGGGTAATCCAACACAGATAACCCCCTATCACAATCCTATGTGAACACTCTTTGCGACTTCCTGCAAGAAGTTACAAATGTAAACAAAGCTAGGCAAAGTGGGATCCTGAGACACTTCTTCAGTAATCCCCAAGTTACTTTAACTCTCGTCTCCAGAGACGATAATCAA